GGGGGACAGTTGGTTGCCAATTTTGGCAGTTTTTGCCGGGTTAGTGGGGTCGATGGGAACCTCAACGAGCTCCTCCATAGGCTCCCCTCTGACCAGCTTGTCCTCATCCCGAACGTCAAGTCCTTCAATGATCACGGTTTCCTTCAGCTTGAGTTCTTTTAGTGAGGCAACAGAGCATTCCCTGGTTACGGTCTGCTCTCCCCTTACAGTCTCGACCCCCAGATCGGTGGGAAACTTAACGGTAAGGTGATAAGTTGATGTGATAACTTGGAAGGCATTTAGGACAGTGCGGCCAAGGATGATGTTGTAGGCGGATGGGCAGTCGACAACAAGGAAGGTGAGCAACTTTGTAGTCTGTCGTGGGTACTCGCCGATTGTGATGAGAAGATCGATGGAACCGATGGAGGTGACTCGGTCGCCAGTGAATCCGACCAAAGGGGTTTGGAAAGGAGACAGACTTTCCTCCCTAATTTTGAGCTGGCGAAAGCAGTTGAGAAAGATGATGTTTGAAGAACTGCCGTTGTCGATGAGAACTCGTCTGACCTTGTAGTTGGAAAGGAGGGCAAAAATGACGAGAGGGTCATCATGAGGGTAGCGGATGCTTGTACAATCGGCGTCTGTGAAGGTGATAGGCTCGGTCCACTGTTTGGGCTGTTTGGAGGGTCGATCGACCATGGCAAATGCTTTGTCTGAGCCCTGCCTTATCTTCATAAGTTCTGCCCTCTGAGCCGAGCGGGATCTTTGTAGTCTGTCGTGGGTACTCGCCGATTGTGATGAGAAGATCGATGGAACCGATGGAGGTGACTCGGTCGCCAGTGAATCCGACCAAAGGGGTTTGGAAAGGAGACAGACTTTCCTCCCTAATTTTGAGCTGGCGAAAGCAGTTGAGAAAGATGATGTTTGAAGAACTACCGTTGTCGATGAGAACTCGTCTGACCTTGTAGTTGGAAATGAGGGCAAAAATGACGAGAGGGTCATCATGAGGGTAGCGGATGCTTGTACAGTCGGCGTCTGTGAAGGTGATAGGCTCGGTCCACTGTTTGGGCTGTTTGGAGGGTCGATCGACCATGGCAACTGCTTTGTCTGAGCCCTGCCTTATCTTCCTAAGTTCTGCCCTCTGAGCCGAGCGGGATGGTCCCCCGCAAGCAAGGTCGCCTGAAATGACTCTGATTTCTCCAACAGGTAATTTCAGTCAGTCAGTTCAGTATTTCATTCAGTTCGATTATCAGTCAGTTATCAGTCATTATCAGTTTCGTTTAACAGTAATCGGTCAGTCATTAATCAGTAAACAGTATGAGGGTTGTTACAATGGTCCCCCGCAAGCAAGGTCGCCTGAAATGACTCTGATTTCTCCAACAGGTAGAGGGGGTTGCCTGGCGGCCGAGGTTGCTGTGGAGGGCGATCATGGCCTTGGTTAGGTTGAGCTGGCTACCGAGGGGGTGCACCGGCGGTTGTTTCTGAGGGGTTTAGTTCTCTGCCTCTGCTGAGGGCGGGTGTCCGTGAACCAGCTAAAACGTCCCTGGCGTATGAGGGTCTCGACCTGATCTTTGAGGCTAACGCACTCATCGGTGTTATGGCCATGGTCCTGGTGAAAGCGGCAATATTTGGACTGGTCTTTCTGATTGGAAGGGGTTCGTAAAGGTTGGGGCCATTTAAGGGGGTAGTCCCGCTGGATCTGATTGAGGACTTGTTCCGTGGGGAATTAAGGGGTGTGTACCGCTCGAATCGACCGGGCAGTCGGGCTGGTGCCGACCGGTCAGCTCGGGGGGGTTGATCGGTATAGTGTGGTGTTTGGCTATTATACTGGGTGTTTCTTGGTTCTCAGTCTTTTCTCTTTTCTCTAGGGGTCGGGTTTTTGGTTATTGGATCTTGCCGGGCAGCTAGGGAATCCTCAACATTCATGTATTTTTGGGCCTTGGAGAGTAGGGCTGCCATGGATGTCGGGGGGTTTTTAGAGAGGGAGAACATGAAGTCGGACGACCGCAGACCGGCCATGAAAGCGGTGAGGATGACCTTGCTATCATTTTTCGCTACTTGCAGGGCCTCGGTGTTGAAGCGAGTAACAAAACTGCGTAGCGACTCCCCCTTGGTCTGTCGAATGTTGAGGAGTTGGGTTGCCAGGCGTCGCTGGCGCTGGGCTTCAATAAAATGGCTGAGGAAGGAGTCACTGAGATGTTGAAAAGTGGAGACGGAGTCTGCTGGTAACTAGCTAAACCACAACCGAGTTGACCCCTTCAGTGTCACAGGAAAAGCTCGACACATGATCTCGTCAGGGAATGCATGGAGGATCATGAGGGTTCTGTAGGTCTCCAGATGGTCGACTGGGTCCGTCGTGCCGTCAAAAGAGTCGATGGTGGGCATCTTGAACTTGGGGGGTAGAGGTTTGTCACGGATGGAGGCGACAAATAGTGAGTTTGCTGTAGTAGAGGGTTTATGTTGAATGTTCTGCATGACCCCTTGGAATTGGAGCTTCATGGCTCGGAGTTCCGCGTCCCAGAGAGGGATGTGGTCACCTCCGGAGAGCAACAGGGGCTGGACGCTGCTGGCCTCTCCTTCAAGGATTGGTAGCGGGATCGATGGTTGTGGGCCCCGGGGTGGTAGGTTTATACCTGGGGGAGGGGGTTGCAAGCCTTCTCTGTTGGGCGGATTAGGCTGCAGGATAGTATGGCTCGGGGCTTGTTCGTAGTTTGGAGGAATATCGGGAGGTGATAGAGGGGGCATAGGAAGGTTTCTTTGGAGTAGGGCATTGATCAGGGCTTGGTTTTGCTCGGCCATGCAGTTAATGCTATTGGTAAGGGCCCCGAGGTGGTAGGTGTATACCTGGGGGAGGGGGTTGCAAGCCTTCTCTGTTGGGCGGATTAGGCTGCAGGATAGTATGGCTCGGGGCTTGTTCGTAGTTTGGAGGAATATCGGGAGGTGATAGAGGGGGCATAAGAAGGTTTCTTTGGAGTAGGGCATTGATCAGGGCTTGGTTTTGCTCGGCTATGCAGTTAATGCTATTGGTAAGCTCGATGAAATATGGTGGTGGGTTGTTTGGATTGGGGGCGTCGGCTTGGTGGTCGGCAACATTTTGGTGAGAAGCCATAGATCTAGTCGTGATCATACACTTCGATGGGTAGCGAGAAAGGGTTATTGGAACGGGGTCTCCGGCAACAGTGAACACAACTAGCGCGAGGAGCAAAGCGTTCCCACAGACGGCGCCAACTGATAATACAGTTACTACACAACGGGTCCCAGGTGGAATGGGTCGGACTAATCCACGCTTCTTCAACCGGTAACTGAGTGTTTAAGCCCACCAGAGAACCTGCACACAAGTTCAACAGGGAAACAGGGAGTCCCCCAACGAACCCTTCGACGAGCAAGTTAGAGAGAGAAGTGGAATGTGGAGATATGAATTGGCGATAGAAAACTTAACCTTCTTTTTGTCTTCAACATCTGCTTATATCCTTTGGTAATCATTTCGCCATCCCTTCCGACCTACCACCTTGGCCGAAAGTCTATACTGTAGCTTACCTTGTTCAGGGTGAGGGAGTGCTATTCTGACAGAGAGGTGTTGTCGTAATAAATGCTGTGATGGACTGCATTTAATGGCGATATGCAGTGGCAATAACTTTGCAGATCTTTGTTTGTTGATGTGGCTTGTCCTTTACCTGCTACATATCTGAATATCATTGGTTCTTTGTGCCATGTTGGCTTCCAGCTGTTCAGGATCTCATCAGTTGGGTTATGTGTTGGGCTATAAGTGATGGGCTTGGGTTGTTCATAGTGGGCTATGACTTTTGTGGGCCTAACCACGTCAGGATAAAATTAGGATCAATTTGTTATCTACAGTTTCTGAAAAATTGGAACCAATTCAATCCGTTTAAATCGTGAAACCAATTCGAACCAATCCATTTAAACACGGATTAGATCGGTTTAGAACAACGGATTCACATAAATAACAAAAAAAATATAGAATTTTTTAATTTCATAAAACATAAACATAATATCATATTAGTTCTACAATAGCAATATGTTTTTCCATAATAGTGACATACTGTTTTAAAATTTAAACAACCATAAGAAAACTGATTCCACCATAAGTATTTAGACCATTACAAATTAAAACTAAAAACTAACAAACAAAAGCAATAAAAAAAGATACTACGTGGATTTAGGTTTGCGTTTAGGTTTTATATGGAATAAGAGAAGATACTATGCATGAGAGTGTATAATATAAATATAGGCTATTTGTATACAGTCTAGATCAGTTCCAATTCAAAACTGTGAGGTTCAATCCGGAACCAATTGTGAATTATGAATTTTTAATTTTTCAATCCGGAACCAAACCATGGATTTAAAAAACTAATCCAAACTTACCAGATTGGACTGAATCAGATTGGATTACGAATTCCTTGATTAGCCTTAAGACAGCCCACCAAGAGAATCATTCATGTAAAAAAAATCAAATTGATTAAATATCAATAATCACATTGATTGAATTACAAAAGTGAATAATACGTATACATATAAAATACGCTCACCACGCACAAGAAGTGATCATCATGTAAGATCCACTAAGCAAATCATATATATACACAGAAAAATTAAATTGATCAAATATTAAAATCACATAATCATATCATAAAAAATAAATGTTAGGAGCATGTAATTATTATTTTTTTTTTATCAATTTCATTTCTTTACATAAATGATAGGCTTAATGAGTCCTTCACCAAAAAAATTAAAAAATAAACTCGGATTAATGAAGTGAACCCATTGATCTCCAACAATATTGAAAAATTAGCTCCCCTGCACGTCTTAGATACCCTTCCTCATATAACATATCTTTTTTTTTTATGCTAAAAATGATAAAATTGCATTTTTTTTTCATGCTAAGAAAGAAAAAGAGAAAATTGCATCGTGCATAAGGCACATGCACAATGAAGCATTTCATTTATTAGGCCATCTCTTAATCTCCCATTCGTGTTCATTTCATATACTAATAAATGAGCCGAAGATGCACTTAATTTTTTGCACGCATGTCTAGCAAGTGAGCTAAATATGGGCGATATATATATATAGAGAGAGGACTTCTTGAAAAAGACCTGCTCATCACATCATATTTACAGCATCAAAGGACTAATTAAATTAGGCCTGCTGATATGTTCAAGTAAACCAACATTTCGTCACCACCACTTTTACACCACTTTTACAAACTCATCAAAGTTCTAGTACAAAACCTAAAAACTCTAAGATTATATACATAAAATGAGAACTAAAAATGAAATACACGGCCCAGACAAACTTTCCCTGTAACCAATCACCTCAAACAACAATAAATCCAGATAACACCACAAACGCACACAACTTAAAAGGTCGGTAACATCCATCCAACAGTCCATCCCAGAATCAACCCCGCACCAACGAGACCCAAGCTCACCGCAAAAGCAACTGCAAACTTACTAATGCCGCGTCGGGGACGACCCCGCTTTCCTCGTTTTCCTTTGGCAGGCTTTTGACACCTCTTTGGAAGTTTCCAAGATTTGTTTGGCATCATCCACGGTAGCACCACAGGAAACAGAGTTGATGTTGGCTGGTTATTGTTCTTGATCTGAAAAAAAAGGTTTTCGAACTCAAGAAGTTGCAACCATTGCTTGTAGGCAAAGAGGTGCGACGCCTGTTTGAAAAAGAGCTTGAGAACGTGTTCTTTCTCTGCGTAGGCTTGTTTTGCAGCTTTCTCGGCTTCCCTTGCACGTGTTTGAGAATGGCGGAGTGCTTCCAATAGCTGAGCCTTGCTGGAATCAGTGTCGGAAAATTGTGCTTCGGTCATACCATTGTGGGCTGGGCCATCACTGTTTCAGACATCATGAAGTTCCAACAACCAAGATAACGTTAAAAGATTTGAAAATCATAATAGAGAAAATTCAATTGTTCTTGGCTTAGTGATCATATTCAACATCAAAGAACAATATAATACAAAACATATTTTTTGTTTTCATGTGGCTTTGAAATCACAGGGTGTGTTGGCTAAAAGACAACAAATGTAAACATCCATGTTTTTTATGTTCTGTCAAGTCTTTAGATAGAGATCCTCCAAATAAATAAACAAATATAAAGAATAGGTTATAACTAATTTGCAAAAAATTGTCAAAAGGGATTTTTAATGAAACAATAAAACCTGCCTGAATAATTTCATAACCCTGTAATTCTTCAAATTCGTAGGAAGACCTCAAAATTATGAAAATGGGTCCAACCAAACGGTGAAATATGAACCATTTTCTTCATATGTACGCATCTAAGTATGAAAATCCAAACAAATTGGGGGAGATAATTAGGGATGGCAATTTCCCTTTCCCCCACGTCCCCCGCTCCACATGGTTTTTCCCGCCCCCGATAAGGAAGTGGGGCAGGACGAGATTTCATTCCCCTGCCCACACCCCTGTTAATTATTAGATCTCTTTGTATATGTATATAATAAATATAAATTATAATTCAATTTTCTTAAATGTAGTAGGACTAAAACACCAAAATAATACACGTAACACTCATTTTTACTTTTCTATCTCTCGTCTTACATTTCTAACTCCCATCATCACTAATCAATCATTAACTGTAACTTTTGAAGAAATTGGTACCCTATCAAGTCCATGCTTAATTCTTAAAGTTTTGAACTTTCTGACCTAATTTTCATTGAAAAGTTCAATGTAACAGCAAAGGCAAACAAGAAAGTAGATCATACAAAAGTCCTCAACTATAGAGAACTCAGCAGCTGTAACTTCACAAGTAGAGGTTCACACATAAAATTGAATGAAGACTAATTATTAGTATTTTCAGAAAATAGATTCTGAAAACAAAACCAAATAGAGCAACAAAATGAGACAAGCAAAGCCCCCAAGTAGCCTATGTATGTTGCAAACCCCATGCAGTTAATACAAATATTGTGCTCCCACAATCAAACTTTTAGTCAAACACAAATTTAACTACAATACAAGACAATTAATATCACAAATAATTATAATTAACTTATAAAATTGGAGAAATGAAACCAGATGACATACTTCAACAAGAAAATGGTAGAGACAGAACAAAGAAAAATAAAATTCAAGCATTACCTGTTTTGCTTATCTAAACCATATTGTGGTTGCTCCTCAGATAAGGTCCACTGCTTCCCACATGCACTTCGTACGGTGCGATTGCTTAGTGCATTACCTGTTTGTACCTTGAAATCTTTAGATGACGGTAAAATCCCATCACGATCAAAATTGCCAAGATAAGCATATGGGTCTTCTGTTTTAACATGCTTGCTTTGAGGCCGAGGGAGATCACAATTCTCAATAAGGTCAAGTGATCTCTGTGCAACCAATGAAGCCAATTCACCTCTATCTGCCATACGCCACCACGGCTCTGGTTTTTCACCACCAATCCAAGGAGAGTCCGAATCAAAACCAAGCTCATTTGGTTGCTTAGAAACTGAGCAACCAACAGGATCGATATCCAATAACTCATAATATTCCCCCATGTTGTCAGGTTTAAGAGGTTCTTGGGCACTCTTACTATATACAGTCTTTAGCTCTTTCTTCTCGACTTCAAGATCTTTCTTCATACAAGTTGTGGAAGTCCTAAAACAAGCGTCGAGGGAGGGTTCAGAGTGGTCATCGATGTGCGAACCATCGTGGACTTCACTTGGTTTAACGGTAGATTTTAAAACACCGGCTTGAAAAGTTTCCATCTCTTCCTCCAATGTATTTAACTGTTCGTTTGTTAAAGTTGTTTGGCGCCCGTAATTAGGTTGCAGCTGCTGCTGTTGCAGCTGCAGCCACCATCTTGATTCGGGGGGTAGATTGGAATATGAAGTGTTTCGGTTAAGAGGCATGAAACCTACATTGGGATTATCATGGCCGTCTGCTGTATTTGCAGGTCCCGCATCAACCTGTTTGGACAATGAAGATGCTGAGGGGCAGCACGCTAATTTTGGAGCTCTTTTGGCATCTTCTTGGACAAAGCAACGGTTAGCTGTTCTTTGCCAAGCAGCCCTTGCTTCTGCTGCAGCCATCATTCACCCATATTTCAAGGTGTTTTACTGCGTAGAGGAAGAATTTCTCAGAAAAGGATGGACGTCTTCAAGAGTAAAGGAAGGATTTGATATCAAATACAAGACATCTGTCATTAAATAAAATCAAATATATAGATGTAGTAATATGAAAACAAACGGAAATTTGATAGATACAAATACAGATTCAAAAGTTGCTGCAGAAGAAGAAACAACATGCAAAAATGAGGTTCTATACATCAACTGAGTAAATCATTATTCACACAGAAAGAGCCTTTTCCTTAAAAACATAGACTCCAATCGGTCACACGACTAAAATCTATTATTAGAATAAAAAAAAATAAAAGGAAAATCAGAAACTTAAGCAAATGACTATCTTCTCTCACCTGTGAGTCGACGGCTTTAAAAAGTAATACTGAGAATTAAAACAAAATAAAGCTCATGAAGAAATAATAACTAATATATTTCTGGAAACAGTCCGCATTGCTTTTCAAGTTATGATTCCATGTACTCAAAAGTCAGCTACATGGAACTATAAAATAATGAAATAGAATACAGGTTGGAACGCAACCCAAGGTGAAGCCAAACATAGTCCCAAGGCAATGTCCCGGCCCTTTTGAGACTAAAATGTTCCCTATCCTGTTTTCGCACCTAAGACTAAGAGACCATAACAAACAAACAAACAAACAAACAAATAAGTTTTAAAATAAAGACTAAAAGATCATATGGTTTCCCTGTTTACAACTCAGGTTTTCAAATAATTCAGAGTCTCTTATGCTGTGTTTGGTTGGGGGATTTGAGGAGAGATTTGAAAAGGGAAATGAAAAAGTTAGGTGAAATGTGAATAAAATATACCTACATTTCACCTAATTTCACATACCTTTTCCCTTTCTCTTTTCAAATCCCTCTCTAAATCTCCCAACCAAACACAGCATTAGTGTTTGGGACGAATAATAGAAATGGCCCAAGGGAAAGAAGATTCTGATCAACCCATTCCAGATCACTTAAACACAAGCTTTCAAAGAAATCTTAGCAGTTCCTATATGTATCAACGTACATGCACGTGTCAACTACACTATACTAATTTATGAAGCATGGGTACTCCGAAAAACATACCGTACCCGTACCCGTACCGGATACTTACCGGCGTACCGTACCTCGTATGGTATTTCTGCACATACGTACCGGGTACATGAAACACGTACCCAAATTTTTTTTTCTTCATTTTTGACGTACCCAGACGTACCTAATATATATCCAAGCCATACCTAGTATATATCCAAGCCGTACCGTACCTCAGTTGAAATAATATTTTCCTTCTACTACAGAGATAAAACTAATTTCACTAGATTTCTTTTTTAGTTTTTGTTTTATGTTTAGCATGATTTTAAAATTAAACTATGGTTTGTAAGTTGTTTAATATATTGACATTTAATTTTGATTTATACTTTTTCTTTTGGCATTAAATGTTAATTATAGGTTGGACCTTAACAAATGAAACCATTTAATTATTTTTTACATTATTCTAAATTAAAAATAAATATTTTTTTACAAGCATACCAAGCCGTACCCGTACCCTAACGATATTTTTTTTTAAATTTTACCGTATCGACGTACCCATACCGTACCCGTACCCGTACCCGTACCCGTACTTCATAGATACTAATTAAATCATATAAAATACTAACAAATACTATCACATAATTGCATAACACTTAATGAACAAAGGCGTCAAGATAATAACAAAAACAGTGTCTGAGAAACAAGTGTGCATATCAAGATTACATCTACTTGGCATACATGTAAGCAAAGGAGCTCCAACCAGACTCCATATTTAAGTCCCATACGCTCCATCTATACTCAAAGAAGCACAATTTTATTTGTGTGTGTTTGCATTTGTAATTTAACTATCTACAGAAATATCAATGCACAACACATTATGGTATGTGTCAAAGTAAATGCTTGTCAATACATTTATAGATCATAGGGGAATTATATAACCAAAAAAAAAAAAAAAAAAAAAAAAAAAAAATGTGCACTATGATGTATAGATGAATGTTGATTGCTCAAATGCTTGTTTATTAGATACAGTGTATTTAATGACCCATGTGTTTACATCAAAAAAATAAAAATAAAATAAAAAGTTTATTGGGTGAAAACGTGAGATTTCAGCATAAAAGATTGCAAATCAAAGACAAAAATTAACCTAAAATAAAGTCAGGTCAAAGAGAGAAGCTTTATTGCAAACTTGTGAATTTTACCCCAAAGCGACCCTTATTTAAACTTGAATAATTTATAAGAAGATTACATTAAAGTAAAATGCAAGAGATCCTACTTTAGATATCATTTTTCCACTTTTAAGCTAAAAGCAAGCCAAACACAACTGATCTGAAAAAAACAAATCAGATCCACAACAAATAATTTATAACCTTCATGCTCAACATCTCATGAAAACTGAGATAGTAAAAGTCTCCAAATCATTCAAATGATTAACAAAACTTTTATTCACAAAACTTAAAAATAAAAATAAAAATAAAAAAAGGGAATAGAATCACCAGAGGAATACCAGAATTAACCAATACCCAGAAAAACCCATCACTCACAATAGTAAAAAAGATACGAAAAACCTAGAATGATCCACAGTGGACAAAACCTTACACTATATTATTATCCATAAACATAATACATAAAAACCCAAATAAAAATAGAACAAAAGAGGATAAACATTAATGAAATAATGAAAAACCAAACACCAAATAGTTCATATACAAACATATATAATTATAAATAGAGAGAGAGAGAGAGAGAGGAGAAAAAATAATAAAAAAAAAGGACCTGAAAGAAGCCAACAGAAGAATTGAATAGAAATGAATTGGGAAAGTGGGTTTTGTAGATCTGATGATTGAATCCAAATCCCAAATTGAGGAAGCGTTTACAGTTGTTGAGGTGTAAAGAGGCGAACCCTCTTCTTCATCCTAACGCGAGAGCGAGAGAGTGAGAGAGAGAGAGAGGGGACGAGACGAGACCAGTTCCGTTTTGTTTTTCAATTGTCATTTCCATTTTTCTTGTCGGTTCGTACTGCTTTTTCAGCAAGTACATACAACGACGACGTTTAGATGACTCAGTCTCCTTACACAACGCACAAAACTTTTCAGAAAACGGTGTCGTGTAGTATTTATTTGGACCACCATTCTGTCCTAAATTGTCCACATCATAGGTGTGTGGTGGGGTGGCAAGGTGGGGTTCATGAGTGTCATTTGTGTTTCATAAAATTAGAATATAAAAATAAAATAAAATATATATTTTTTGCTTAGATTCATTCTAATTATGGTGAAAATTATAGTTATAATAAATTTTAATTATTGTTGGTCATCGGTACAATTTATAAGAATATTAGCGGATAAGACATATGATATGTGTGTAATTTAATAACAAAAATAAATGATAAAAAAATTAATATTATAATATGTAAGTTTGCTTAAATGATAAGTGTGTTTTTAATGAAATCCAATATAATGATCTTCAGTACAATTTATAAGAACTAACAGATAGCACACATAATGCGTGTGTAATTCAAATAAACAAGAACAAAAATAAAAAAAAAAATTTAATATTATAACATGTAAGTTCGCTTAAATGGTAAGTGTGTTCAAACCTTACTTATATTGTAGTATAATAATTTTTTATTTTAGTAAATAAAAATCTATCATGCGACATGAGAATGAAGTTTGGACACCAAATCTAATATTCACATAAGAGTAAGACGATCTATTATAATCAATCAACTTCAAATTAGAGCGCTACACAGATTTTCTCTTGAAGCAAAATACACTCTCATTTCTAAGGTAAATTTTTTTTTTTTTAGAGTTTATGTTAGAATATTTAATGTAATTTTAACTTATAGCTTTTGAGATTTAAATTGTTTAATAAGTTTAAAAAATTGATTTTGTGAAAGATAGTAAAGATGTGTTTTTAGCATATATTTTTTTATTATTAATTTTTAGTTTGAAAAAAGTTACACTGAACAAGCCTTATTTGTAAAATTAATTTAAAAAAATAAAACTAATAAAAAATATCTTAAAATTAATGAAAAGTGTCTTGTGTTATTTATTATATAATATATATCGAATTTTCTCTAGAGGTACTTTACTTGTTACAAAAAATATTTTTAAAATAATTTTATTCTATCTTTTTTTTTTTTTGTTTTTTAGATAGCATATGTATGAGAATTAAATATTAGTAATTCTGTATTTTTTTTAATTCATGTCGAGAACATTTTATTTTATTTTATTTTTGGTTATAATAGTAGTACTAACTAGAGCTCAATCACAGTACACGTGTTAGCTTATAACTTTCATAAATTAAAAATACAAAAAAAATATATATATATATATATATATATAAAATAATGGATTGTAAGCTTAAAAATGAATTAGTGATCATTAATTTTGCTAATTACTTGATACATATGAACATGAAGTGAGTTATTATAATTAATTTATATTGTAAAAAGAAACAAAAGAAAAAAGAAATTAACAAAGACACTTGTCTATCATACAATAAATCAAAATGGGTGGTGGGACGCACATTGTTCATAGAAGAGATAAGGAGGCGATTAGGGAGATGATGACATGACTCTGCATCCAATTTTATTTTATTTTATTGTATTTTATTCATCTTGGGTATGAAAAGCATTGGAAGATTTTTTTATTTATTATCTTGTATTTTGTTCTAATGATAATAATACACAACCATGAAATGAAAGAGACTCCCCAAGCAAGAGCAACTTTGGAAGGAACCATATTTTCAAGTTTGGTGGGCCACTTGGACTTTGGGGTGGTCCAAGCAGTGGTGATGCAAATTAGGGATAACCAATTGTTTTTTTATTTTTTATTTTTTATGAGTAAGCAGGGCTACAATTCAATTCAAGCAACCCCAAATTTCTTTATTAAGATCAATCACGAAATGTTTATATAAATATATCCCTTAAGAGGAACTTGTTACCAAACAACACGACTATCCCCTTTAGGATTTTCCCTTAGAAAGAAATATATAAACTGTATATCTATGAACAGCAGCGGAGTTAAGAATTAAGTTAGAGGGGTATTTATGAATTATAGTTTTTTATTTAAAATAAATCATGATCAACATTAAGATAATAACAATAATTTTATGAGGTAAATTTAAGCATAAGAAATTAAAAATCATTATTAATAGAAACAAATCAAAATTCTATAATAGTGTATAATAGCTTGGTGCAGGATGGTGACGTAAGTTTGTAATTTTAACACAAAAAATTATGGATCAAAATTTCTAATTTTAGAAAATAAAAACACATCATTTATAGTACAAATTATTATAAAATTTATTTAATTTTTATTTGATAGAAAATATTAAAGAGATGATATTGCTTATAAATGATGTATTTTGAATGAAAATTATTAAATAGTCTTAGAATATCATATCGCGTTGCCTATGTGATGCTCAAAGCATGAGAAATCACAAATCACACTGAGCAGTTTGTCAACTATCTAAAAATAATGAATTAATTATATTCAATTCGTAAGATTTCCCACTACACTATTGATTTAGCCTACTAGATAAACAATGCCACATAGTGCTTCAAAAGTATCAAATATCTACTTATTATGAACAATATAATAAATCCTTAACCAAAGAAAATATTAAAGAATTTTTTTTTTTTTATATATAACCACAAAACAAAAACAAAAACAAAAAAAAAATTAAAATTGAGAGGGTCACGTGAACCCCCGGGGCTTCTGTGGCTCCGCCCGGGTCTATAAACATACTTAGGCACCGTTTGGGAAGGTGGGTTGGAGGCTTTTTTGGCTATTTTAGCCACAAAAAACAAAATAGGCTATTTTAGTCATAACAAACAAAACATCACATCCAACCCATAATCATTACATTCTTCTCTCACAAAAAAACTCAAGGTCTATAAACATACTTAAGTGATGTATTTACATAAATTGAATTAGAATACTACGTCATAATATGTTATCATTTAAAAAAAAAAAAAAACAGATTGGATTTCCCTTGAATTCATGTGTATGGATGGGACGATATGAACCAAATTGGACTAGTATAAGGTTGTGGGCCTACTATAGAATTCATTCTCATAAAATGATAAATTAAATTTATAAATTTTTGTATATATCATTCATAAAAATAAAAAATTCAAATTAATCTCATTATCGTAGTCACAAATTTTATTTAAATTCTTTTTTTAAATAAAAATCTTGACATTTAATTAAAATGCGAATCGCTCCCCTGTGATTTTGGAAATTATATTTCAACCCCTGAGATTTTTAATTTCATAAGAAATTGCTCATTTTATTTATAAATTATCAAGTCAATTAACAATTTTTAACGATGTTAGAAATATGTTTCAATTAATAATTTACGTAATTTTATTATTGTATGGGAGAACAATTATGAATGTTATTTTTTCAGTTAATTCTGTTAAATAAAAAATTATAACAAGGGAGAATTCGTAATTTTTCAAATCACATGGGACAATCTGTATTTTAAGGGAACCTTAGAGAGTGTGTTTGTAATTTACCAAAAATAAAAATAGATTATAAATATAATTTTAAAATATATCATATGTTTTTAAAGATTAATATTATATAATTATAATTATCAAATTAATTTAATTTTTTTTATAAATAATTTTTAAAAATTTTAAAAATCAACAAATCGAATGTAACTTTGGTGGACTCACAAGCCCGAACCTAACAATGGTCCTGTTTGGTAGAGTTGTGGAAAAGTACTTATAGCTTATAACTATGAACATAAGCTGATTTCTGACTTATAAACTTAGGGGTTGTTTGGGGTGTCCTAAATAAGTGTTTTTTTTGTCTTTTTGAACTAAAAAATTGAGGAAGAAAATATAGATGTTTGGGTTAACTTTTTGACTTTTTATGGAAAAATGTGTAATAAAAAATTGTAAAAATTGGTTTGTAAGAGAAAATTAGAATTGGGAGTTGTGCAGCCGTAATCGTTGACTTTTGGTGAATAGTGTTAACTTTTTAACTTTTTGAGTAACTTTTTGACTTTTTGACTTATTCTGGACTTGTCAAACTTGGCCTAAGCATCTCCTGTCCCACTCAAAGAATAAGCTGATTTCTGACTTACAAAAAATTATAAGTTGTATTGTTAACCAAACACATCAAAATAATTTAAATTAAGCTGAAAGCTGAAATAAGTAACTTTTAAACTGCACTAAACAGGCACAATCTATTAGGCCATGATTGTTTTAATATACAAGAATAATGGGTATGTTTGGTTTGTGTCTGAGAGATGTGTTTTAGAGATAAAAAGTACGAAAAGTTGTTTGGTTTGGTTTTTTTTAAAAAATGTTTTGAAAAATTATTTTGAAAGAGAGTTTTGAAAAAAGTGATTGATTTGATGTATGTGAGAGAGAGATTTGTTTGGAAAACTTGTTTGGTTTACAAGTTTTGAGAAATTTTTTTGGAAAAATTTGTTTGGTTTAATTATTTTTAAAAACTTATTTGTAGAGAAAATTTTTCAAAATTTTTTCAGAAATTCAAACCAAACGAACCCAATATTTTTAAGACTGTTTACTTTTGGTAAAAGAATGTGAAAATTTTAAAAGTAAAAAAATGAGCATTTCTAATCAATAAAGCTAAAATCAGTGGCTTGCCCATGGTATCACAAGTCATTATACCCCCATTTTGGGTGGAAGACGAATCAGGGTTGTTGAATAGATCTTATGGTCCACGTGTCACTTGAATGCCTGGTTTGCAAAATTCTCCCTAGAGTAGGTGGGTGACCATCATGGGCTAGTGGTAAAAAAGCCTCATGTCAATTAAAATTTATGCCCACTTCTTTATTAATTTTGTGACCACTCTACAATCTAAAAATTTGGTGCATAATTTAATGATTTGGGGGATCTATTGGGATGGGGAGATAAGAAATTTATACTCCTAAACTTTGACTTGAGAAAGTATTTATGAATATTGTACGTTTAAAAAGTTGTCTAGACTTTTTATGATCGATTCTTTTCACTTATGTTTAACAATAAAATTAAGAATAATTAAGCAAAGAAAAAATACACGTTTGTGTAGATATATATTTTTATGTGGCGGGATAAGTCCTTCCTAAATTTCTTATTTTCATGTGAGATTTCAAATGGGAAGAATAAGTAATATTACCCAGTTAAGTTCCATTCATTTTAAAAAGTCATCGGAGGTTTATTCAATCATTAAGGCCTCGTTTGGGAACAGACTTTTTTAGTAACTTTTTGATTTTTTAGCTAAAATGTGATGTAAAAAAAACTAGTATGTTTGAGATGACTTTTTGACTTTTTACGAAAAGATGTGCAAAAAATAGAGAGAAAAGAGAATCTTTGACTTTGGCTCCGTTTGGTAGAACTGTGGGAAAGTGATTATAAGTTATACCTTAACAGCTTATTGCTTATAATTGTGAACATAAGCTGATTTTTTACTTGTAAATTAAGCTTCTCCTCCCCCACTCAAAGAATAAGTTGATTTTTGACTTACAAAAAGCTATAAGCTATATTATTCAGTTGAACCAAACACATCAAAATAGCTTAAATTAAGCTAAAAGCTGAAATAAGTTGGAAATAAACCCTACCAAACAGGGCCTTTTTGGTATGAGTTGTTGGCTTTTTGGTTTTTTTAGTTACTTTTTGATTTTTTGGCTAAAAAAATCACTTGCCAAACGAGGCCTAAGTCTAAGATTTCGGGGATTAGTTAAGTTGTATGTAAGTTGATCTGAATACTCAATTATAAAAGTAATATATGCAAAGGTGACATTCAGCTTGTTTGGTTTGAATTTTTAAGATTCACTTTTCAAAAAGTTAAAATGTTTTATTTTTTGTTTTTTATTTATTTATATTTTTGCTGAATTTTTTTAATTTTTAAATACAGCTAACATAAATGCACTTAAAAAGTATAATATTTGTGAAAAAAATCTTTAGAAAATTTACTAAATACCAAAAATATAAAAAAAATACGATAATTCAATATATTTTTCGTATTCTTGTGTATTTATTTTATTGATTTTTTTACAAATAATTTACTTTTTTACATCTAAGTAAGGTGCATCTAAAAAATAAAAAAAATTAATTAAAAATTTAAAAATATTCACTAAAAATAAAATAAAAAAACATAAAAACCTCAATTTCAAAAAATTGAATTTAGAAAATGAAAATCAAACACACTAATTAGTTTTTTATTTTTATTTTTTCTTGGGGGTGGCTAAAGAAAAGAAAAAATAAAAGCAGGGTTGAATATCTCTATGGAAGTAACGTAGCAGAATCATTCTCTTGTAGTAAAAGCTTCATGTATTTAGAATAGACTTTTTAGAAGAAACAAACAAGTCTTTGGCTGAATTGAATTGGATGCTTAAAACGACGTTTTTGGCACGCGTACTTCTTTAAGAAACACTTTGTCTGTTCCCTCTCCAGTCGGTTTGGTCATGTGAGATGGTTTTATTTATTTAATTAATTAGTAAAATTATAAATGAGTAGTTCAATAAAAGTTACTAAAACTTTTGATGAATTTTGAAAATATTTTTTAAATTTAACTCACGTATTTTTAAGTCAATTTTAAATAAGTTTTAAAATAATTTAGGTACCGTTTGGTTTACTTTTCAAAACTTAACTCTCTTTTTAAATCATGATTTGAATGTAGCATATTAACTAAACAAATCATCTCAAAATTATTTTCAAAACTCATACAATTTTTTTTTTTCAAATCCTGATTTAAAAACTCAAACTCAAAACATAACTCCACATTCAAATCATAATTCTAAAATTAAACTAAACGGACCCTTAAGTTTTCATAAAAATGTATTAATTTATCGAATTGAGTTCAAGTTGAGTTTAAAAAGTTTATAAATTTAAAATATATTCACGGTTGATTTATTTACAAAATGAATTGATATCAAATAAAATTTTAACAAATACAACTCAAAATTTACAACTATTATTAGAGTCGAGCTTGTCTTCCGTTTGGATTGTTTAAATTCATTATCCAATTAAAGAATTAAATGTTTATCACGTCTATATTTTTTTGTAAATTAGATTTTATTTACGTACTTACAAACACGATATCAGATCAAAACAAAAAGTCCAAACCCAATATATAATGGATAAATAAATACACAAAATTTAAACCTTTTATTTATAAAAATTACTGACATGACACAAATTCATTGCTCGGACTATTTTTTTAAAAGTGACTCAACCATTAAGTCACTTACTTAGTCACTTAAAGCTTAAAAATATTTTATTCTTGAAAGCCTCAAATTTTATTAGGCATAATTGAATAAGATCTCAATTTAAAGTTTAGCCTGAATCTCAAAAATCCCTGAGCTGCAACTGGTTTTGACTGGTCCAAACTATTAGCACCAAACAGATATAATATCCCCCAAAAGATTCACCGTCTAAAAAGTGACTTGTATCTAAATCTATGGACCTTACCCACAGTATCAAGCACATTATATTCACTAAAAATTGTAAATCTCCATGAAGAAAAAAAAAAAAAAAAAAATCCTGTTTCAAATATCATTTCACTTTAAATTGTGTTTGAATCTTGAAGTCATGGAAGAAAAAAAATTGAAGAGTGAATTACCACTCTTGAGATTTGAAATTTTTATCTTATAAATTTAACATAATTACATTAACTTCCATTTTAATAAGATTAAAGGATTTAACAAAAATGATAAACACATACAAGGATTTAACCATCATCTCAGTGCTTCAGATGTTCACTAGCAAAATGATAGAAACTCATACAAGGGTTTAACTACAAAAATAAATAAATAAATGCAACCAATCTTATTTTTGCATTTGATTTATGAAATGTTTCCAATATGTACATTAAACTCAAAAAATTAACAAGATCTCGTATCCCAACTGCTTGGGTCTCACTACACATTCCCCGGGCTCGTTAGCTCACCTAAATACAACAATCAACTCCATTCAATCACTCACCAATCCACAAATACATTTCTCTTTTTTCTTTTTCTTTTTCTTTTTTGGGCAAACTCGGCACAAAGACGTTAGAGTTCTGAGAAAAGAAAGCGTGAAGAACAAGAAAACTTGTCAATTAGTGGCTGCTTTACCTCTCGCTCTCATGGAGTGACCGTGCTAAATCAATCATCCTTTTTGATGGAATATTTCCCATAGCTTAGGTTCATTTCAACGCCCAAGCAGAGAATGGCATGGCTACTTGAAGCACAAAAGAGTAAGATGTCGGTGACAAAGCCACAGATCGGGCAGAATGGACAGCAAAATCAACCTTTCACTGTTGGGTGATTTCCGAGAAGAAATAACTTCTGTAGGTTTAGTCGAGAATTTTCAGACCCCAAGCAAAATTTGATTTCATTCGCTAAAATTCCTATGTTTGACCTTTAAACTGAATCAACTTTACACAGCCATCTCCGCCACAAGTCAAAAAACCATGAGAAATCACTTGAACATCTGTAACGGCAGCCTGCAATTTTTTTGATTCATTTAGGTCACGATCACAAGTAAAAAGCAATATATGCTTCCAACCTAAAAAGCACAGATATGGACACGTGACTTTGTAACGAGTTTCATGTTTGTTGTGCTTCTTAGTTCCAACATATAGAATATACAATAAAACTTGGAAGATCAACTGGGTTAGTTAAATAGATTACCCGAACAACTCCACCAAAGCCCCGTGAGCTTGGTTGGAGAAAGGTATGTCTTTCATGCAATTTCGACCAATGACATACTAACTTGGCTGTTTTTGCATCCCAAAGTTTAACGTCTCCATCTTTGCTTCCGGTCAAGAATAAACTAGAGTTTGGGATGGTCGATATTTTGGTAACAGTCCCTTCAATAAGATCAAACAAAACATTAATAAGAAAATTTATCATATTCGGTTATGTAACTCCACAGAAGACAATGTTTCATTACCTAAGTGAGCCTTTGGTATATACCAAAGCATCCCGTCTCGATTCTGGTCCCCGGTCCGGTTCTGCGCATCAGCAGTCAAAGATGTGTTGCTGTCTGGTTCACTATTAGCAAAATGTCTGTGCCTCTTCGTCCTTCCAGTAGCTATGTAACGGAAATCATGAAGTCCAACATCACCACCTTTTCCTCCGGTCACAATGAAGGGAGAAACAGAACCACTTCCAATGTCATTATCGAACACAGAAAGGGAGCGGGCACCACCTGCTCGTGCAAGTATACATGCAGAAGCAGGTTCAACAAGGAAAACTCATCATGGAAAAAAGTTAAAAGGAAAGGCAATTAAAATTTCCCTATATGTGCCAATCATGATAGCAAAAATTACACAGAAAGATGATGAGCTATTGATTCTTTTGAGGTTATAATTATTTCCCCAACAAGAGAAAATAAAAGGAAAAAAAGAAAAGAAAGAAGAAGATAATACACATTTAACTTAGCTTACAATTCTTTTAATCCCAACCAAGTTCCTTTTTTTTAGCATGCATAACCTAGTCCAGATTTTCATTCATTTGATAAGACATCTACACGACATCCAACTCCAAAAACCACATCGAATTTTCTTTTTTTATTTTCCTTTAGTAATTATGTCATCACCAACAAATTATCAGTTCCTCCTCAAACTAACAAATGCTTTACCAATACTAACATAACCAGCGCTTTGGTTCCAGGCTTCTGACAACATTAAAAGAAAAAAAGTACAGCTTCCATCGACAGTTGTAACTGACTTCATTGTCAGATCCCATGTAACTTTGAGGCGGGAAAATAATACAAGCAATATAATAAAATGCAATTAACAGTTTATAGAGATATAAACAAACCTTCATGGCACATTATAGAAGCTCGAGAGGTTGTGGGTGGAGCAAGTGTATCCCATATAACCACATTGACACCATTGGAACTATACCCAGCAGCAGCAATTATTGATCCACTGGCAGTAACATAAGTGACATCCCTGCAACAAGAAGTACAAATATGACACGGTAGTATCACTCTGATATAAACCTATGAATAGAGGACATTTATCTAAACCAATACAGAATGTGAATGGAGACCCCAGATTGCTGTCCATATATACAACACATTAACAGCACAATTTATGTGCTATTTCATTTTATGTAACGTGTTTTGAAGGAATACTCTTTAGAAGATAAAACTATCCATATAACAGTCACGTTTTAAACCAATTTCAATGGATAATGTCCAGAATATAAAAAGAGGAGACAGATATCTAACTGGATGGTCCAGAAATAGAGGAATAAAACCAAAAGGAAATAGCACGAATAGCACCACTAGACTTCCGCTGGACTCATGTTTTACAACTACCATCAAGCCATTCATAACACACACATAGAAGGGACCATAAAGGTAGGCGATTAAAAAGAAAACCACTCAAATTTATAGAAAGCAATTTCTTCTTCAGCAAACTCTCAAATCGCAGCTGACAAAAAAGCATAACTATAAAATTTCTTCAGCTGAAAGGACGACTTGGCTCAACGGTAAGGCTTGCCGTTAGCATCCCTGGTGGCGCAGTCGACTCCAAAACATATATTTTAAAAGGATTTTAGAATCAACAAAGCATGAATGGAACAAGGAAAGAACTTGGGAAGGGTTCTTTAGGTGCAAGTGCTGCAAGTGTCTAATAAGAGCAAGTTGTGCGTTCATCTTTCCCACTCATAAATCTAAGCTTTAATGCTGGGCCCCACAAATGTTCACTTTGACTTGCAGATATGACACACTTGTGACGTGCTTTTATTGGCCACTTACAACATCTGCACCTAATGAATTGTGCATAAAATTTTTCCATAGAACAAAACAGAAACCAAAATTGCATATTTAAGTTAGTTCAGAAAATGTACATACGATGCATGGTTGTTAAAGCATAGAGATGATTCTGTTGGACGGATGTTGCTCCTTCCTCCCACCTCAAGCTGCCATGTGCATACAGTTCCATCTAATGCACCAGTCGCAAATCTGTGTCCACAGTTATCAAAATGCACAGCTGATATTGATGCAAGAGCATATGGCGGAGGTACATTTGCAGCAGGAAGCACTCCGTATGTTGCAGTAGCTTTGTCCTTACCGAACTGCACTTGTTACAGTCTTTGTTAGCTGCTCTATCAGTTCATATGAGAGACACCAGTACCAATTCAAAAAAAAAAAAAAAAAAAAAAAAATTGCAATTATGCACTGCAACTTCAAAATTTGAACAGTATGCCTTGTACGTAAGACTAGTTATGTTTTTATGACTTTCCCATATAACTATTTGCCATGCTTTCATTGAATATATATATGAATGACAATAAAATATGGAATATAATATCTGTCACCAGATAAATGTTAACTCTTATTTTTTTCATCCCTTACGTGGACTCACTCAACAAACGTCATGTGTACATTTAGCACCCACCATATCTAAAAAAAATAGGCTGGTCCCATTATTTTCTAGATATGGTGGGTCTTACATGTAGACATGGCATTTATTGTGGATCTATGTAGGACATGGGAAAAAATTGGTGAAATCCATCCGGTGACGTACAACAACACTAGTCCAAATATCCAATATACAAGACAGAATTTGAATTGGCGTTTCTGTATTTTCAGAGTCCATCAGCTATACACTTGAGTATTAAATATGCAACTTGAGCATGGTTGTTAATCAATTCATTGGCTAATTCATTCTTTCTTACATTTTGGATTCATGGATGATTTTGACCACATTATTGGCATCTAAGGTAAGGTTGCGAAGGTCATGATTATGACGAGAATTACCACATGGAATGAGACTCAAAACCAAGAAGAATTTTTCACAGAAAACAGAGGTGAAATTATAGTACTCCCCCCTCACAAGAGTAATCTGGAACAATTTCTTGCTCTGAAAAAGTTTACTAGAGCATATCTGAAAAGAATAAAATCCAGAGGCAAAAGTATATAGTAATGAGATTTCTTGGTCGACACTACATACCTCCCATAAGTATATGTGTGTATTACTAGATCCAACCAAGAAGAAAGGCCTAGAAGGGTGACTTGAGAATGCCCTTGTATTAATGTTTTCCAAAGTGGCAGGTGGATCAATGAACTCCTCAAAATCATCTTGAATCCCCCAACCTAGGCCAGATGCACCCATACCAGCATAACCTGGAATTCCAAATGCTCCACCACCTGTTAAGTCTTTCCCTGGTCTTGCCAAAGAACCTACACCAATGGTTGCTCCACCCAACCCAAGGTGTGTCCCCTTCTTGCTCCCAAGACCAACGCCAGGAGACACACATGTAGGGACCGGAGTAGATTCAGATCCTGCCCACCCATTTTGTGGCCAATCAGCCTCCGCCCAGATGTAATTAGAATGATCTCTGATAGGCAGCTCATCTTCCCAATTAAAGAATATTATCCCCTGAATCAGATAGAATATGATGTCAAGGGAAACATATAGATTTTAAAATTGAGATATATTACGAGAAAACCATTAAATGAAAAGGAAAATAAATTCAATTCCATGTATGCATAATATCAATAATTTATTCAAATTGAAGCCCTGATACATCCTGAAGCACACGTGACTAGTGCTCATTCATTTAAGAAAATTGGTGTATCCTAGGTGAGATGGCAGTCTTCACCTTCATGCTGTCCTGATTGGAAATTGGGATTAAGAAACACTTTTACAGCATACACCAATACAATTACAAGAAGAGCAACACGCATCATGATTTTGTAACTCGATTCACAAATTCTTTCTTTTTGAAAGATTACCTTTATGTAAATTAAAATATTAAACTCAATGTATTCCTGCTAACGTGGAAAATGAATAAAAGCATTTTTTTATTGGAGTGACTATGTAAATTTCATTAGCTTGCAAGAGTTACGGGTGGTTAGGTAATTCAAAATTTTGCTAGATATTGTCTACATAATGGGTTCATGGCTCATAGTACAAGTCGAACAATGTCACTAGGTATTATATGGAGTCTTTAATAGGCCTCGAATATCTAGTTGGTCAGTACAATTAGGAGAACTCATCAACCTATAAATACTCATGGAACCTTTCTATCCATTGAGTTTTAGAGAACCTGTGATTGTATTTATTTGAGGATAAGCCCTTCTTCTCTCTACAAAATCACCAAAATATTGTTTCATGGGTACGATACACAGCCACAATTTCAGCCTCAAAACTCTTCTAGATCAAGCATAACTCTTCCCTTGCCCATCGGTTGTTAATTCAACGCCAAAACTCCTTAAAGAATTTCAGCGAATTCCTTAAACCTTGTGACTACACATTAAAAACCAAGCCAAACTCACCCTGTTCTATCTCCTTTGTCTCAGCTGTTTCTTTTACCCTTTTTCTTTTAGTTGGCCACAGATTAAGCTTGGTAGGGATGCATGTTTGATGTTCCGTTTTTTGGTTTATTATTCTGCTGGTGGTTTCCCACTGTGCACTATTTATAACACGAATGGGTGCTTATGGCTCCTTAGGGGCTGGTGCGTTTTTGGGCCATGCCATTTTTGGCCAGATTTTGTGTTCCAATGTTAGGCCATGCTCTAGTGTGCTCACGTGGTGTGAGATTGTTTCCTTTGGAATTGGCTGCCTAGTATCACTGTGAAAGATTTTATTATTATAGACTAGGCATTTAGGAGTATTGTTGGCCTAGCCACTCAGGTTATGAGAGGTTTTATCTGTTGTAGGATATGCATGTGTTTCCCCTCTAGAGGGGGTGTTTGCCTATGGTGTGTCTTGAACTTCATTTTAAATCATTAGTGTTTTTTTTTTTTTTTTTTTTTTTTTTTTTTTTTTTTTTTTTTTTTTTTTTTTGTAATAACCAAGGTTGTTAAAATCGGAATCCTACGTTGGATCGCTGGAAGTGTTTCTAGGATCGGATCGTAAGATCCTACCGAAAAAGACAAACTACATAATAATTTAATTTAAATAAGTATTTCTCAAAAAGTATACACAAAATGAGCCTATATTCTATTGAAAAGAAGTAAAGATATCGTGATAATACTCCATGTAAAATGTACATATAATATTATACAATAGAAAACTCAATGGTTAAAGTTTTGTATTTTATCAAAAAAGAAGGTGAAGAAGAAGAATTCTATAACAAAATACTTTACAATCTACAATAATGCATAAAAAGTGAAGAAAAAATATTTAACAAAGTTGGATATACAAATAGATTAAGAACTCAAAAGAGCAGCTTAACTGAATGATAAGGCTTGTCGTTAGCATCCCTAGTGGAGCAAATTCAAGTCACAAAAATAAACTATCCAAAAATTGGGATAAAGTTGCAATCATCTTATCCTCCTTAAACTCTGCTAAAGCTAAGTTTGTTTTTCCAACCAATTAATTTTCTTAAATTACCGCAATATTTGAATATTTGTTTTCTATTTTGTTTTTCTTAGTCTATTTGATTCAATACTACTCAATTTTTATTATTTATTTTGACCACATAAATTGGTATTTAGACGACAAACATAAAATTTACAATAAAACATGTCATACAATACAAAACAAGACTTGTAAATTGGATCTGATAGGATCAGATTCGGATTCGAATTCCACGATCCTATAAGATCCCATTACCAGGATCGAAAAATCCTACCTATAAGGAACTTTTTACACGATCTGAATCGATTGTACTCAAATGGATAGTAAGATCGTAGCATCGTAAGATCCGGATCGGGATTTTGATAGCCATGGTAATAACACACATACTTTCCAACAAAAAAGAAGGAACTCTAAAGACTTGAAGCTTTCCATAACCAAAACCTACCACAAACCAATTGTGGGCAACACTAGGCGAAGTTTCCATACTTGTCCTGCATCAATTATTTCCTAAGAAAGGCACTTCACTTTTTTGGTTTTTAGTTTTCACAAGTAGGTCTATCAGGCTAAAGTTCACAAGGTCACATATATATATATATATATATAGAGAGAGAGAGAGATAACTAGGTGCTGAAAGCCCTAAGGTTATTCTTTGCATACGGTACACTTTCAATTACATGCAAAATGCAAATGTGGATAAGCAGAGTACAACAAAGACAATCGATGAAGAAGACGAGCATCTTTCACCAAGCAGCCACATCATCAAATAATTCAGATGAATGAAAAAAATTTATGGATGGGGTCTCACCTTTCTGTTACTAGCAAGAGCAGCTTGCTTTTGATCAATGGAGTTGATACACAATGCCTGCTCATTCATGAAGGATTAGTAATCATCAAATACATTATGAAGCTCCGAATATTTGGTTGCCAGGATGTCAGTGACATAAGAAATAATAGAAGGTAAGCAGAAGAAGTACCTCTAAAAGTTCTCCATTTCTCTTATAAACTTCTTTAGTGTTCTGGAAAGGCAAAACCTTCTCAGAAAGCATTGTATTTGATTGTCCAAAACTTAGAAAAGAATGACCGTCTAGAGATGGGCCCCGTACAGGTGATCCAGTTCCACTGCCAGCAAAAATACTGCCAACCCTACTTTCTTGGTCACAACTTTCCTCAGCTTTATTCTCACCAGTGGTTGCCACAAATATGTCACTCCATTCTTTAGAGGACTTTGGCTTAATATACTGTTTCCACTCAAAGTTTTCTTGTGCAAGTCCATCAAGTATAACTTTAGGATCAGCAAAAAAATCCCATAACATATCAAATGCTGATAAATCATTTTCAGTGTTCATCACATCCCGACTGTCAACATCTTGACTAAGATGCTTATCAAGGGTTTTTTGATGTGACTCACTAAACCCTTCTAACCACATAAGAATAGGTTCATTGGATCCATCCTCCATTTTTTGCAGCACAAATGATGCAAATTTCTTTGTACAAGAAGAAGAAATTTGCGCAGACGTAGTCTTCAGTAACTTAGCCAAAACCACAGAGACCAGCCTCATTTGTTTATGCATATTATTTCCATCAGATTCAGAAATGTCAGGATTAGACATGGAGGAAAGTCTATAAAAGGGACCAAAAGAATAACTGTCTTCAAGATTCTGAGATAGTGAATTCATCTGATGTTTTAGATAAGCGGACATGTGTCCCCACGAAGCAGCCCCAATGATTTGCCATCTTACATCTTCTGGTAGTGAAGATATTATGACCTCGTCTTGATCAGGTTGTGCTGCTTCTGTGAACTGAACAGCACTTCTCGTATTATCAATCAATGTATTGTGAGAAAACAACTCTTCATTCTCATGAAGGAGCTTCTTCAAATCTGCCATGGTGATTTCATAAGCATGCCCATTTATACATGAGAGCAAAAGGGGTTTCATAATCAGAATAAGACCTTTATAATTCCTTTGAAGCCAAGCTGATGCAAAATATACACAATATTCAGATAAATCAAGAATGGTAGAAGGTATCCTGATGAAGTCTTCAACACAAGAATCAGGGAACAACTTCAATGTGGCTCTCAACCTCCACAATGACCATAGGAGACCTTGCATGTAAAATTGCCAAGCAGCCGACCAGTCGAATCCATTTTCACCAGCAACATTACTATTGGTGGAACGTGATTTTGGCAGAGAGCAAGTTATAGAACAGGCAACAATATATCTCGAAAACAAACAGGACATTTCTTCAGTAGCCTTCACAAGTAGCTTGGGCTTGATAGGATATAAGAGAAAACTGTCATATTCAGCCCTCTTATCTTGTGAGGAATATTGAGAAGCATAGCCATGCAATATATGGTATCCGATAAAGAGTAATCCATTATTTGACAGGGAAGTAACAATCTGTAGGATGAGAAAACAGAACATATCAATCTCACCTGGAAGAAAGTGGGCATGCATCAAAACAGATGAGATAATGAGATGTGTATGCATGGGTCAATAAACTACATACCATGTTAATTAAATGGAGAGGAATCAAACAGAACTTCTGCTCAAAATATGCAAGCCCTGCCATTAATTTGTGTTGAAAATTTTCAAGTAATATCTTGAACTGTTGAGTCTCATACTTGGAGGATTTACATGCTTCTGTAGGTGCCATGTTGGTACCTGGCCAGCTTGGATGCTCTCTTAACAATTTTGAAATGTACCGCATTGCTAAATCTAATTTAGCATGTGTCTCCATATGAAAAGCCACATCATCTGATATCCAGTTACTTGAGGAATTATATGGGAATGGCTTTAGCAGTTTGTTTAAGCCTTCAATTTTTCCAATATCTGATCTGCTTCCTTGATCTGAACCTCCAAGCATGTTCAAAGGAGATGAAAGGCACTCCAGAGCTTCAATCTTAAAATGCATCCAAAATGGATCAGTTCAATATGCCTACCTGGGCATGAAATTATGCAAAATAGATACGTGATATCACACACACACACACACTCAAAGAACTTCCAGAAAAGAAAAAAATAAAAGAAAAGAAAAAGGAATTAAATATCTGAAAATCCCCATTCGTCATAATTTCTTCAATGATTATGTAGTTCCATTACTTGCAACATGCATATTCAACAAATATGAAACATCCGTAGAAAATTTATGAATCATGCTCAAACAGGAGTTATTGTCTTGTTACATATTATGATATACTATATCTAATATGAATTCACATTCTGTGAGAATAAATCTAGCTCTACAAATTATACAAACAGCAATTGTTTGAGAGTGTGTTTACAAGTATATGAGAAAGTTTGCCACCCAACCTTTTCCCATACACAGTCAGCTAAGGTACCTGAGTCTACAGTGTGCATAACATACACTATTTTCCAAGATTATTTGAATCTTCCCAAATGCATATTCTAAATTTGCCAACATTTAGAAACTATACTTGCAATGGAAAATTTCATGATAAGTGTTTTCGTTGGTGTTAAAAAAAGAAGGAAGAATTAGAGATATTTGCAAGGGATAGATTAGACATGGACAACAATATCCTCACCTTTCTTCCTGATACATGGGTAGAGTCTCAACAATCACAGAACAAGACTTGAATCTTGCCATTAAAGAGTTCATTGTCATGGCATGTACTAGCACGAACTTTAGAAAATAACATAAACAAGAAAGATGGAACTGGAAAAACAATTTGCTGGACCTGGATAGAAAATGAAAGCAGGGAAAGACAAAGAAAGGTGGGATATCACATTTGAAGATAGAGATCCCTGTTGATTCCAAATAATAAGTTAGAAAACAAATGGGCTGAGTGCGAAAGGAAGCAAAATAGTGGATATGTTGAAGAGAGCCATGAACTCCCCTCATGCATATTAAATCTGTCAGAGAGCTTCAACTCTCAGGCCATTTCTACAGACAGACACAACTGTTTCATTCATCTCTCACATATTATTCTTGTACTATGTACTGTCATGCAGCTAATGCACTGTGAGGTATCTTTCTGTATTTGTATTCCTCGTACCTCAGAAATAGAAGGTTATTCACTTACACTCAACTTTATATTTCACCTTCAAACTTCACTTTAAACATCAAACCTAATTCCTAGGCTTTAGCTATCAACTCCTTGAAAAATGAAATCAGGACCTATTAGGGAATAACCTGTCCATCGAGTCACTAGATGAAAAGGGTAACTGATGAATAATGATACAGCTCAGTTTATTCATTTTTGTGCAAAGGTTGAAATCAGGCTGAGTTAGCTTCTGGCACACCTGTTAACCCAAATCAGTCAGAAGACTCCCAACATATATATGAGACAAGTGGAAATTGTTCTGGAACTGAAACCTCGAAATTGAACAATAACTTGAATCCCAACTCTCATGTGAGAATGTAACATAGGTTTTCTATTTTATACTCCAATTGAAAAAAATTTCATAACAAAAACACATCTAATTAGGCACTCTTTAGTATTAATTAGGAAACACAACAAAGGTACAAAGTTTGGTAAGGTTCAAACAACTAAAAAATATTTTGAATATCTCAACTTCTCAATAAAACAAGAATATCCAATCTAAGGGCCAAATGATTTGACCCCTATCAGAAGATATTAAAAAAATAAAAATAAATAAAAATCATCAAAAAAGATCAGGGTAATTATGTACAGACTCACACACAACAATGACAACTGTCCATTTGAATATTACAAAGTGTTTCATAATTTCAACAGCTTGCTTAGCTTATGAGTCATACAAGTGATCCAAATGAATAAATAAAAACTGGCTTAAGAAGGTGGGTTGTCAATATCAAAAAAGAAATGAAAACTTTAAAAAAGTAAACTCAACAAAAACAGCTAATACCATGCCATAAACCAGATAACAAGAATATACATTTAGATGAACTTACAGGCATGCCAGATCTGTTAAGAGCAGTAGAACTCATCAAAACTGCCCACCTTCCCAGGACTGCTGCATTATGCTCTCCTACAGCATTCTTCATTCTGTTCTTGTTTGCCAGCATTAGGCAGTATTGACCAATGCTTGGATCCAAAAAAGAAGTATGATTGGAAAACAGGGCCAAGTTATTGATAGGAGAATCCTTTTGAATACCAAGCATGCTCAGAAAGGATTGTGCATAATTCCCCAACATCCACTGCAAAACAGATGAGATTTAACAAGAATTATTACACACCAAAAAATAATGAAATATCATAAATGAAGCCATAGTCCTGAACCCCTTTTTTTATGAACAAACTTGAATACTTAATTTAGCACCTCTAGAAAGCTTGCCAGCCAGGAGTCGCCTTTTTCAATTGCAGATGGAAGCAGAAACTTTGATATAAGATGACGCTCTAATGGCCCACCATATCCCTCAACAAGGCGACAAATTACAAGAGCAAGCTGCTCATCCCCAAGGTTTTTTGCACAGACATTAACAGCAGAAGAGGTATCACCTCCAAGCAAAAAGAAAGCAACAGCCAGCTCCAGCTGATGTCTTCCCATTAAAACATAAGCATTCTTTAAAGCAGCTGCTTTATTTTTATCCTCCTGTAAGAGTGAGTCCATGTGAGTGCTCATTGGATACAACAGAAAAAAAATTCAATCCATTTTATGAAATGCCAGCAGTCAACAGCATCCTATGCACAAGAAGCAAAATGCAAGCCACAAACTTGACGAAATTAAATGTAATTTTATGTGGGGTAAGCCTTAGTTTGCAGTTTGACTCTGACAGGAGAAGACAAAAGTTGATTAAGATTAATTAAGGAGGAAAATAAACATTTTTGGCTCCCAATTGTTTATCCAATGTACCAAAAGAAGGATCGATGACTTATTATCCTCAGAAACATTAAAGAATTCATGCACATAAGAAAATAAAAGTAAATTTCAAAGAAATTATTCAAGACTGCAACATGTGGACCAATTACTCAATATCCATAAATCAAGAAGATACCTGGAAATTGCGTGAAAGGAATCCCACCAACGGCTTGTCCTTCTCATCTTTGCTAATTTTAAAGAGACTAGACAAAACTTGAAGCCTGTTTAATGCTATATATAAAAGTGCACAGGCTTTAGGATCCTTACTTTTCAAATACTGTTGTCTAGCTAGCTTCTCCATCTACAATATAACAACCTTATCAGAGTCAGGGAGAAGCTGTATGAAATAGAACTTAAATTAAAAACCATTCCTTTAGAAACAGCTGTGGAAAATGATAAGAATGATAAATTTGATGGCATGAACAGCCAAACAAAATACAAATGAGATATGTATAAATTTATCCATGTGCTTGTGTATATATAACATAAATTTGCATGCATACATGATAGACCTAACAAATTTCTCATAATATGAAACATGTTATAAAAGACAACCGCTAACTTAGCAAACACAAACCAAAGCTTAACAAGAGTGCAGTTAATATATGTGTATATATATATATATATATGATGTACTCCAGTAATGTAAGAAAAATATAGAAAGTATACATGGTGATACAACAGATATTAAACATATTCTTACTACATCCACCAAATTAATGCTACTTAGATACTATAATGCTGTTGGTAGCAATAGAAAATGGACCCTTGAAGTGCTCAATTAAAAACCTTAACACAGGTTAACAATTACAATGGAACGCCTCAGTATATCTCTTTATCCTTCACAAAGGGAAATGAAGTGGTAAAACAAAAGAAAAGAAGAGAACAAGCAAAAGCATTCTCTCCATTTGCAATTAAAATTCATGAAAAACATGCATTATTGCTTTCCGTAAAAGCTCAACAGAAATTCAATGCTCGTCTTCAATTTCTCATTTTCAACTAAACAGCAGACAGCAGAAAAACACAATTGATAACATAAACAGAAAAAGCACACCCAAAATGCTTTAAATCACCTTAATAGATTGGGTTTTGTCAAAAATATAACTAAGTAATATTACAAAAGCAACAAGAAATTTCATGTAGGAAAAAAGAGATTAAACAAAGTAGCTCCAAACATTACCTTTAAGCGCAATTGCGTTGCATTTATATACCAAAATCCGACTCCCATATTCTGCATTTCTTGCCAAGATGGTTCATTTGGTAGAAGTGAACTGAACAAATTGTCTTGACAATCAGAGTGAAAAGCCCAAGCAAACAGCCCTGAGTCAACAACCAACTCTCCCACCGGTGCAGATCTACCAAATCTTCGGGAGAAATATAGTTGTTGAAACCTTACAGCCACCCAAAATCTTGACCCAAAAAAATAATGATAAATAAATTTGATAAAAAGAAAAAATTAACAAAGACCACAATTGTAGCATCAAGAGCAAGACCAATAGAGACGAAGGCAATCATGGCAATGAACCAAAATACTATACAACTGCATAGATATGATGAACAAAGAACTTAACTCGCAGTTTTTTTTTAAAGATAATTTCAAAGCAATAAAGGCACCTTAACACAAAGCCCTTGGTAGACTTGTTAAAAAAATTCAAATAAAATGGCATATGCAACCTCAAAGGGTTGGCCTGGTGGTCAAGGCTTGGGGCTTGGGGGTGTGCTCCCTCCAAGGTCTCAAGTTCAAAACCTCCTAAGTGCAAACAATTTCTTGGGACTAATCCATACAGGGCTTTTCCCTGGCTTTAATTGGGACCCCTGCAAGTGGGCAGTGGGATTAGTCCCCCAGGTTAGTCGATCCAATAGGCCAGATACTGAGTTATCAAAAAATAAAATAAAATGGCATATGCATTACTATCTTTAAGGGCATATGTTAAAATTGATGTATTATTGATTGATTTATATTGATATGTTACAATGATTCCTATATATAGAAGAGTAGGTGGTAGTAGGTGGTAGATGGAGTAGGTGAAGTGGAGGTGGTAGTGGTGTAGTGGGTTAGGTTTAGTGGAGTAGGTGAGGTGGTAGTGGTGTAGTGGGTTAGGTTTAGTGGAGTAGGTTTAAGTGGGTGAAGTAGGTGATAGGTTTAGTGGAGTAGGTGAGGTGGTAGTGGTGTAGAGGGTTAGGTTTAGTGGAGTAGGTGAGGTGGTAGTGGTGTAGAGGGTTAGGTTTAGTGGAGTAGGTGAGGTGGTAGTGGTGTAGAGGGTTAGGTTTAGTGGAGTAGGTGAAGTGGTAGTGGTGTAGTGGGTTAGGTTTAGTGGAGTAGGTGAGGTGGTAGTGGTGGTAGGTTTATGGTAAATTCTAACAGCCCCCCGCAAACTCAAGGGGGATAGAAACGAACCAACTTGAGTTTGGAGAAAC